ATATGATCGTCCAATATCATGAGCTAAGTTGTGCATCACCGTGCTCGATCCGGCGATACCCTACCCTATGTACCGTCGTACCCTGCCCTCTGGAACCACATAGTGATCTGACGCACCTTGCCCTGTCCCTGTGACGCGATGATGACCTTGCCTTACCCTCCCCCTGACCCCGTGGTTACCCCGCGATGACCCCTGACCTCCGTGGTGACTTGGTGTCAACAGCAGCCTTCGGAGAGCCCCAAGCACGAGCTGAAGGGCGGCGCGTCGCCGGCGGCAGCCGCCGTCGGACCGTCACCGGCCGCCTCCTCCAGCGAGGCGCAGCTCAAATACGAGAACGACAGACTCAAACTGGCGCTGGCGCAGAGGTGCGTATAGTGATACTGCACCGTACTGCACGGCACGTTTTGTAGTGTGCCGTACCGTACTGCAACGTACCGTACAATGCTATGTGTTGCGGCGCATCGTGCCGCACTTTATCGTGCCGTGTCGTGTTGTACCCATTCGTACTAGTGGTGTCAATTTCAGAAAACGTATGTCCAAAGTCCGTCCAATGTCCAATGCTTACGTCGATTGTCCGTCCAAAAATGTCCAAGCCAGCCATTTGTCCAAAGATGTCCGACAGCTACGCAATAGTTTACACTCAACACTGTTATTTAATTTGCTTTTCATGTACCGTTACAAGCTCAAAAGTGTTAATCATATCGAAAGCTGAGCTTTCTTATAGCCAATCAATGTTAAACACGACTACTTTTTAAAAATGTTGAGGTGTAGCAAGCGATTGTCCAAAGTTGTCCAAAGCCTGCGGCCATTGTCCAACCGAATTCCGAATTGGACATTGGACAAAATCGGAATTCCGAAGATTCAAGTTCCGATTGACACCACATTATTCGTACCAGACAACAGTGCCTATATTTTGTCGCCCGGCTGTGGTCCTATGGGCTGGCTATAGCGGCGAACAGCCGCACGATGCCGGCTGGTTCAGCCGCGCTTTCCCTTCTGGTTGAGTTGTCCTATCCAGGCTGGTTCGGCCCTACTGTGCTGGCTGGTTCAGCCGCAGCTCACAACTGTTCCAGCCGTGCTATCCCGGCGGGTTCAGCCGCGACTCGCCGGCGCGTCAATAGCCAATCACAGCTGTCGGCACAAAGCGCCGGCCGCTGACAGCCAATCAGCATACGGGAACGGAATGCAGCCGCTCGTGAAACGAATCGCGTTGACTGAATGAATAATTGAAAAAGGTGTAGTTTCGTCATAAATTTGGTATTCAGTCAGTTTACTGTCGTGCGAAAATTTCATTAGCGGGATGCATTTTATTTTACGGATGTTTTGCCTTTTCTGGACTGTAGATGGAAACTTTTCCCCAAACAGCATTATGGTAAACTCGTAGAAACTTTAACAGGTCATTTCTAAAACTGGCTTTCTATTTCGTTGCGGCATGCTCACGTGCGAGAGGAAGAGCTTTGAACTTTGGTGAAGAAGTTTGTGAGGTTCCATGTCACTGGCACGTGTCCGCTGTTGGCGTGTTCGCTGTCCGCTCATCTGTCGTCCGGCTCCGAGCTGACTCCCCGGTGGTTCAGTTGCCGGAGAGCTGAAACGGTGCAGTGCCGGTGGCTTCACTGCGCCTCGAGTCAGTCCCTATTTTACACGTATGATGTTTTTCAGGGCGAAATCAGAGAAAGATATTATGTTTCCTGTCGTGGGTGCCTTATGATTTTTTTTTGTTGTTGTATTTGCAGGCCAACTACCTTGCAAAACTTTTGTTGCCCGGTTTGTTCAAATACTGACGTTCATTTTATAGCTATGTTTCATTGTATATTCATTTTATATTCATTCATATTATTTATTTTATAGTTTGGTTTGCCTCGTCAGATAGAAATTACGAGTACCCAACTAAATCTAAATTTCAGAACACCACTGATCTAAGTTTTAGAACACCACTGATCGAAATTTTAGGACGCCCTTCCCCGAGGCCTCGGTTCCATCGGATCCTCGTCGGTGCGCCATCGGGGGCGTCATTGGGGGCGTCCGGCTGCGGTGTCTGCCGCTGATGACCAGCGACACGTGTAGTGTACGAGGGGCGCAGGGGTGGGCCTGATGGCCGGGGAGGCCACTGATGTCTGGTTCTCGTCGTCAGAGCAGCGCCGCAGCGCGAGCGGCGGCCGGCGACGGCTTCTTTGAGGAGCTTAGACTGGAACTGACTTATAATAGGCTTCATTATATTTATAGGTCAGTTGGTTGTTTGGAGGTTGTGTTCGATGCTTGGAAAATAACAGCGATAGTGAAAGGATCAAAAGATATATCGCCCGGTCAACCCGGGCTGGCGTTCCATGTGCCGTCGGCTCTTCCATTCTGACAGCCGCGACCAGTATCCATGCAGTACCCACCCACACACTCGGCCCTGTTCAGACAGTATGGGACCGTCTCTGGCGCTGCCCCTCCTCTTCCCCACTTCCCCTTGGCGCCGGCGGAAATTACACGCCGGATGGCGGCCCGGCCGCCGCTGCCCGGACCACGCTGATGAATGGCGCCAGCCGCTCCGACCGCTCTCCGACAACTGCGGTGGTCGGAGCGGAACATAGTGCTCTGACCTGACCAATGTCGCTGGAGGTTGCGAGCGGTTTGGTCTGCTCAGCTTGCCCTCCGTGTAGACTTTTATTCGTCGCTTATTTCTTCAAGCTCCTGCACCACCCTTCCAAATGTATCTGGCGAGCCCGTGAAGGTAGATGAGTGGTCTTTCATTTGGCGTTCTATATTCAGTGTGTTTTTGTCCTTGTTTCAGCTCTGCCAACGCCAAAAAGTGGGAAGTAGAGCTGACGACTTTGAAGACCAACAACGCCCGGCTGACGGCGGCCCTGCAGGAGAGCACGGCCAACGTAGAGGAGTGGAAACTGCAGCTCCAGAGCTATAAGGTACGGGACAGTCTGGACTGTAGGCTGTTGTAAGGCGCACAGACGCCGGAACTGACCCTGTTAGACATCGACATTGACACAAACACAAACACAGATACAAAACAGAAACATAGCAACCAGACGTGACTCAGTTCGACACTGACGGGATTTCTGTAGTTCGGATGCTCTGCATACAGTTAGTTCACCCCCAGTAGGGCTTACTACGCCCACCATGCGAGCTTAGTCTCGTGAAGATGCATTACAATCTCGATACGCCATTCCTCTACCGTCCTCATACCGTTCACGACGAAATGCCTACTCCCCATTGCTGCAACTATGTGAATAAGTAGCACTCCAGTGAACCGTTGCTGCGGGGTTGATGTTACGCAGCACGATGTTTCTCTGTATTGCGTGACGCGTGCCGTTCCGTAGCGACTCGCCATCCCAGCTGGTGCATTTCTTACTGAATCTTGGCCACGGGTGGCTCCCCGTTCCCTCTCGTTGACTCTCCACCCCGCCTCACGCCGCTCACCATCCCACAGGAGGAGAACGGTCGGCTGCGCAGCCGGGTCCTGGAGCTGGAGGCCGGGCGCGGAGGCGACACGGCCGACCTCTCCCGCGAGCTGCACCAGCTGCGTCTGCGCGCGGACAAACTGGAAGCAGAGGGCAAACGGAAGGACGAGGAGAACCGGAAGCTGGCGGCCGGCCAGCCGGACCCGGCCGCCGCCAAGGCACAGGAGGAGAGCATGAAGGTGGGTCGGTAGGCAGCTCGACACCGGCAGCCGGGTCTCTGGTAGATAGAAGCGTGCACAGTTGGTAGGAATATAATAATAGATAGGTCTCACACGTTCATCATCGAATGTGAACTACCTACGCCACATCTTGCACCTTGCTTAGAGAACTCGACTGGATATGAGATTTTTTAACGTAATTTGGGATGTTCGTTATTAACGCCTGTGTTGCAGTAAGTGACCCTAAGGTGGCATCTACATACGTCAGCGTCTGACCTCTGTCCGTCCCTGTCTGTCGCCAGGCTATGGAGCAGGAGAACGAGCAGCTGCGCGGCCAGCTGTCCCGGCTGCAGGACCAGCTGGAGATGGCGCTCTCGGCGCAGGAGTCGCAGCACAAGGTGCTCGACACGCTCAACATGCAGCTCGGGGATAAGATCGCCGAGCTGCAGGGAATCCACACCGAGCTGCACCAGGCCATCCAGACCTAGGCCGGCCGGACGACTGCCGAGCTCAGCCGCCGTGCCGCCGCCGCCACCGCTACTGCCGCCGCAGCCGTGTCGGAGACGCCGCGCCGGTGTGCTGCCGGGCCCGGTGACCGGCTGGTTCTCGCGCGCGTCCATTACGGTGTTGCCGTGTCCGCGGCGCTACGCCGGCCGACGGGCGTGCTCGGAGTGCGGCCACGGCCCGCGCCCGCCATCGACCGCGGCCCAGTCGTATGTGCAATCTCGCTGGCTGCTAACGTTTTATCTGCATTTTCTCACGAGTGTGCGTCGCCGCCCCAGTGGCGCCGCCGAGCGATTTTAGCCCATTAACACAGCGCAGCTTATCTCAGGAAGATGATCGCTGTCTTCACCGCTCGCGCTCGCTGGCCGCAGCTGATCTCTGCCGGCCGCCGCCATGCATTCCATATTTATTTGCTGGCCAGCTCAGCGCCAGAGTCGAGTTTTTCGCCCCCTGATGTGATGTCGCGCCGCTCGACGGGCCGGGCGTGGTGGCGCCCTCCCCCGGCGGGCGCCGTTTTTACTGGGGCGCTCCGCCGCCGCCGCCGACATATGACCACTGGGGACCAGGCGGTTTCATGTTCGTGACTGTGGCGTATTCGTCATGTGTGGCTAGCTAAGGCTACTCCTCCGAGCGTTTGTGTATCATAGTTCGGTTCTGTATATCAGTTTGTAATATAGCACAAACCGTGCGTACAAAACACCTGAGACGAACGCCGCTGGGCTTTGTGTTGGTGAGGGGCGCGTCACTGGCAAGTCGGGTGGCCTGGAGGCAAACACTGGCTGCGCCTGGCGGGGTCTGGAAAGCCCTGCCATTGCAGGTCCTACCCAGGCCACGTCTGCCACACTCGAATGATGAGATGATTGGCCATAAACGATATGAATGTCACATGAACCAGTTGTATTTTACGACACCTCTTCAAAAGTAAACGGACGTGGTGCAGACCCGCACCCCAGCAGCATCCCACTGAGGCAATCCCTAGAGACCCGCGTCCTTCCTTGGGTCGCAAAAAGGTTCGGAATCCGTTTATCCAGCACAGCACCCATCTGCCCCGCCCCGGGGTAAAAAAAAAAGGCGTACGGCGTCCCTCTTAGTCATTCAGCTTTGACAACATAAATCAGGCAATGCAAACTGCATGTTCAGGATTACCACGTTGTAGCACATCCCAAGGAACACGTTCCGCTATTAGCTCCACCCAACCCTAATGATGGCCAGAGAGCCTGGTTGGTGCTCATCACATGGCTGGTAACATTCAGAGGCAAGGGACGCTAACCCCGGGTCAGCTTACTAGCCTGGCTGATACACAGGTACTGCTTGTTCCACTCATAAACCCACTGAGGCCGATGAACTGGGCCGCTGGGTATAACTCGAGCATCCGAAATGTTATCAATTACGGCTGGAACGATATGTCCCAACACTGTTGCACCGAGACAACACAAATAAGAAACTCCGGCTCATCCTGATGGGCCTGGTGAAACGTCTTCCACACTCACCAAAACACGTAACAGTCCTCCCAACCCGTGTCCACACTGCGACGCCTCGACACAAAGCGCATCTCGCCACGCATGCATGAGTCGGTACACAGTTGGAGCGCGCTGTATCACACCACAGCCGCTACACCTCCATACCCTCTGCGTCCTTGAGCACCCACTGCTGCACGTGCTCCGAGACAATGCCCTCGGGGTCCTCCTGGTAGATGGGGTGCTCCAGTACCCGCTGAAACTGGGCGATGTCCGACAGGCTGCGAAGAGGCAGACCGTGGATTAGGTATGCAGACAGAGGTCGCAGATGGATTCATACAGGTGACATGGTGCAAGAGATGCTATCAGTGGTCTGGAAACTGTTACTGATTGATGTCATTAGTTGCATATTTTTATTCATATAGGTATAGTTGATTTGGTTGGAGATGAAAATGTATAGTCTAAAAGGAAACCATTTCACACGTCTATTTGATCTAGCAAAAGAGCAAGAAATTAACACCCACAGGTTACAATATATCACTCATGGATAATTAACCATAAGATGCCACCTAAAACGCCAAATAATTCACGCACCAGTAGATAGGCAAGTTGGCGTGCAATTTCTGTCGTCGGCGTCGGCGGGAGCGACAACGCGGCTGAAGATGTGTGCCCAGCATAGATAGGCAAGTTGCACATTTCAATCATGTATTAATGTATTGAATGCTGGGCACACATCTGAAACAGAGACACACAGGTATATCAGCGTTATGCCCGTCTAACCAGCTCCCATCCGTTCCAAGGCCGTCCACTTACTATTGTTTGTGGAGGGCCTTCTGTTTGGGCATGCCGCGCCGCTTCTGGCTGGGCTGCCGACGCTGCCGGGCGGCTGCCTTTTTGGCGGCTCGCTCCTTCTCCAGTAGCACCGGGTCGGGCAGCGCGTCGGCGAGTGGCCGCATGTCCCCCACCACGGCCGTGGCGCGGCGCCGCTTGGCCGCGCGCGCGCTGCGCAGAGACTCCATCACTGAGTCCAACTCTGCCGGGCGGTGCAGCGAGTTAGAGGGAGCTCCGCTTGGTGATGGGGTTTAGAGGAGTTTTGCTGTTAGTGGCTCAGCTAAACACTGCAGGCTGACAGGAGAACAACTTTTAGCAGTAAACTTTTGCTGTTTTGGGCAGTAGCGAAATTATGGAGTACAGTTTGGCGATCAGTTTGCCGGCCGTTACAGTATTTCTAATGAAGTGCTATCCGTATCAAGGCGTGATTACCGGAAGCAGCATTTGCTTAGCTTTGGTTTCAACTGATCTACATAGCGACAGTGTGGGACACATGTAGCAACGAAGCCAGCTAACAGAGGACGATATCTATCCTTACTCTGCATGAAGGCCTCGCGGCGCACTTTCCGTTTGTCCTTTTTCTTCATGGCCGCCTGTCCGCGCACGGTGGACTTTGTGCTGCGCACGGAGCGTGCCGTCTCGCTGCGCACCGAGCGCGCGTCAAAGTCGGGCAGCCTCTGGCGCAGCGCCTCCGGAGGAATCTGCAGACCGGCGAACGGACTGGCGCCGCTCGGGGGCGGCGGGGCGGCCACCGGAACAGCCTCAGGCACCGCCTCGGCATCGGGCTCCGGGCGGCGCGGCACGCCGGACGCCGGCAAGTGCAGCTTCTGACGGGCGCGGCGAGCTTTACCCATGGTGTTATGTTGTGCTCTGAAAAAAAAACAATATGATTTATATTGCATGGGTTTGCACAGCAAACATCATAATGACTTAATGTACTATTTGTCAATACACAAGATTTGATGGCAGCCTACTAGCCTATCAAGTAACTAACATCTAAGATCTACCTTCCAGCTTCCTAGCATAAAGATTTAAATCCTACACCATAATTTGATGCAAGTAAACTGCACAAAAAAAAAAAATCATAGGGCACTGGCAACTATGCAGCCCAGTAAGTTATGTGAAGCTTAGTTTCTAGCTCTGGCTTAGGTCTAGCTAAACATCAAATTGACATGGTCTGTGGAATAAAATTTATAAAACAGCAGCAATGATCATGCCTATAAAAATGTAACGGCATGCTGAGGACAGAGATCAAATAAGTTGAATAATTTTTGTCCAGGGTGTCAGCAAACAGTCAAAATTGTTGGACTCATACAAACAGATTATTATAAGCATTGCAAGTATGTAATAAATAGCCAGACTAATTTTGTTCAATGCAGTGCAGTACTACCCTGACCTGACCTAGGTAAGTAATCAAAGGAAAAGCATTGCTGGTAGGCTGTATGGTTTGAAACATTTATTTAGCATGATTACAATTATAATTGCAATAAGATGGAATAATAGGTAGCCTTTTGCTCATAGCTTAAGAAAGCAAAAAAAAAATCACTGAAGAGGTTCCAGCATCAAAAGTATTTTGTTGTTTCATTTCTTAGCTTCTTTTATTTATGAAAAAAGAGTTACTATTCCATCTTATTACGAAAAGAATCATTGTTGCCTACATAAAATGTGAAACAATATAATATAGGCAATAAATGTCTAATGTAGAGCCTATACAATTGAGTAAACAATTTGGCACGAAATCATATAATAGGTTTAAAGGTGTGCACATTATTATTAAGCAGGTTCATATTCAGAATTACGAGCGAAATTACGTAAGTTTACTCAGGGGGGTACGCTCCGGCTGTTAAGCATTATGAAAAATGGTGACAGACGTTTGTGGAGGATTGTCGACGAACTCTTGTTCCGTGAGCAGTACTTACACGCTAGCGGAAAATTCACCAATCAGCGCTCGGCGGTACTCGACGCTGATTGGTCCGACGCTCGTGACGAAATTGCGGGGGACCGCAGTTATTCTCTATGGACCCGAATAGGCTTTTGGATTTCGGAGGGGTTTCTTTAAAATCATATGCTGTTTCGAGCTGTTTTCGAGTTGAAATATATTTCTTATGACTGTTACCTATATAATGGCACCATAATATCATGATTTTGATAAATATTACCGATGAAATATCGGCCGAAAAGACATGCTGTCATGGTACGGACTGCCCTGCGGCTGATGTGGGGTCCCTAATGCCAGCGTATGGTAATAATGGGGTGACGAAGGGTTATTGGAGACTCTTAGAGCCCCATCAGCATTCAGCATAGGGTCATCAGAGGCCGGGAAGGTCCATCAGGGGTCTGAGTAGGCCTGTCATAGGGGCATACATGACACATCATGGCCCATGGGTCAATGTAGATCCATGGGGCCGTTGAAGGGCCAGCATTGTTCAGCGTGGGCTCGCAATTACCTCTGATGGGCATATGCCGTGCCCCGATGGACTAACGCTGGCCCCTGATGAACCATCACCAGCCCCTGATAGGTCTACAAAGCCCACTGCTGGGTCTAAATTGGTCACTGATATGCCCAAATGGGCCACTGAGAAACCCGTACAACATCCCCTGACTGCACCTGCTGGACCAGTGCCGTCCTCTCATGGGCCCACCACAGCTCTTGAATGACCTTTTCAAGTCCCTTGAAGTGCCTTTATTGGCCTAAATGGCCCCTGATTGGCTTATGTGGTCCCTATTGGTCCTATATGGCCCCCATGAGCCCTCAACGTCCCTAGACGGCCTTACATTATATGTCACTGGGCCCTGTTGGGTCAGCACCGGCCCCTGATAGGCTTGCACTGGACCCACCGGGCCTATACCGACCCATGAAGGGCCTATGTCGAGCCCTCATGGGCCTCCGATGACCACACGCCGGCATGTGTGGCCCCATCAGCAGTGGTCCGTCTATCCCATGTACTTACGGTCTTTTTGGTCGATGTGACACCGGTAGTATATAGAAATGTTATGATTAAATGTCGTTATTACACAGTCAAAAGTCACAGAAAGAATATCCAAGCTCAAAAATGGCCTCAAACCCAACAAAAACTGGTACAAATCCCCTTCAAAAGCCGTAAGTCTATTAAACGCCATAGGGGAATAGCTGCAGTCCCCCGCAATTTCGTCACGAGCATCGGGCCAATCAGCGTTGAGTATTGCCGAACGCCGATTGGTCGATTTCCGCTAGCCTGTAAATGCTGCTTGCGGATATAGTTTTGAACAAAAGAGGGTCGCGGCTACTAATTATCGCTTGTCACCACTTTTTCGTCGGGAGCGTTCTACCTGGTTTATATAGCCTTGAGTTTACTGTTCAAGTAGATACCTACACTGGATCAAAGACAATCAAATATCAACTTACCTTCTATCCTTCAATGCGCTAACTGCTTACAAGCAAAATCTATTTTGTTGTACTGTAAATGACAAAAAATCACATTACATTATTATATTGGTTATATATCCATACAAGCACATACAATTACCAATATACATTGATACATGCAAGCAAGCATGCAAGCGAAGGCTGAAAACAGAGGGCGCATGGGCGTATGGGGGGATTCGATCAAGGCTCTTGAAATTGTCACGTGATAATTCCGATCTCCAAGACATTTAAAGATGGAGAATTACACAATAATCACGTGACTTATATTCCCTCCAATGTCTCGCCTGCGTCATTTTTTGTAAAAATGCAAAGATCTAATCTACTGCACTACGCTTCTTCTCGGATTTCATGTTAATTCACTGCATTACGCCACATTGGTTCGCATTGTACGGTTCTCCAGGGTATTAGTCGTTGGTCGCTCGGCGAGCGGGAGGGCAACCAGTTCCGCCCCTGTATTGCGTGACCCCTTGCCCCGCCCAGTTACGCACGAGCGTACTCCACGCCGCGTAGTAGCGTGGGGAGGGGAGCGTTAGAATGGTGGCATGTGTAGAGGCTAGAACCAGTTTCCACCGCCATGCCACCGGGCACCGCCCAGCGACATGGAGCGGGGTCAGTGACCAGGGCACGGGGAAAGGTCAGAGGTCAGCTATAACGTAGAGCTTTGTGTCTCCCTTCCCTCCGCGTGTAACGACCGCACGACAGCGGCCGGCGGCCGATCAGGCTTGACATGTCAAGGTCACCCGCAGTCAACGGGCTCGGAGGGTTGGTCGAGTGCGCGTCCGTGGCTGACGACAGTCTCGACCATGTGCTATGGTGCCGATAGACTAGGGTGGGTAGTAAGCTTTTGTTCAGTGCATATGGCTGCTCGGGTGCGTCATCTGATATGATGCTTTGTAATGTGTATGATAGGTTAGGTTAGGTTAGGTTAGGTTAGGTTAGGTTAGGTTAGGTTTGAGGAGAAGAGGGGGGCGGGGAGACGGGTGCCGCCTCCACATGACTATTTGCTGCGAGAGCTGAAATTTTGCAAACCTGACCTTTGATTCCAGCCGATTTGTTTGACAGCAGCTGTATTTTAACCCTCGCTCATATTGGTGTTTTGCCAGCGTACCTATAGCGTAAAGGGGAGGGGGTCCGTTGGACCCCTTTGCCGTTCAGCCCCTGATCGAGTTTCGCAGAAAAAGAGCGTGTTGCCCGTGACGAGAGGAGGCCGTTGATACCCAATTTTAAGGTCCTAGGTCATTTGTTGATAATTCAATATAGGGGAGAGCGGGGAGAGTTGTATCATGTCCAAGTTGTATCAGGGCGAATTGTGCGAAACTTATCCAATTGATGGCGCTCGTGACACGACCAGCCGACGAGGTTTTCCGGGCGCCATCTTTCCCTGTTCTGTCGTGTGGCTGGGTGGACGCGTCTCGAGGTGAGAGCCGATTTTATGTTTTTTTTGTCATTCTAAAAAAAATAAGTTGCAGGAAAATGTGTGTTTTGGACATTTAGATGTGCACGAATTTGAAAGATCTCCGTAGCGGTGGTGAGGGTAGGTTCTAAGGCTGCGTGAGTGAGAATGGATTTCTCCAGCTGTCCGCTGTTTTTGAGCACGAGGATGTTTTTCCAAGATGGCGGCGAGGTACATGTTGTATCAGAGCCGGGTGGGGTATGTTGTAACAATGTAACATGCATGTATGTATGGGTATGTTGCTTTTGATCGCGAAAGCTAAGCCCTGGCTCGCGTTTGTAGGTAGCTAGTCAATGCTCGTTCCATTTTGGCACAATGTGTTGGCTTCTTTGCTCTTAACGGGCCACTTTTGCGTCTAGTCTGTTGATGTTTCGTTCGGATTGCATTGACCTAAGTTTGATCTAATAAAAGTGAAGCCTTTGAGCATACCTATACATTGTATCAACCCCATTTAATGTTGTTGTTATGCTCAAAACCAGTAGCAAGCACACTCCCTGAAACGTGAAATACCTAGTGATACAAATTACCCCACCATGTGATACAACTCACCCAAGCCATGGGGCAAGTTGTATCAAAAACATTGTTCTATTCGGCACACCGTAGAAGAAAAACTGGTAGAGGTAGCGGAAAAGTTACTTTGCACAAAAAAGCAGAAGAATCAAGGAAGGAGATAGTATGGAAATAATGAGTTTATCACGGATAGTTACGAGGTTATGGGTCTCGGAGTAAAAACTGATACAACCCACCCCACTCTCCCCTATACTCAAAAGTCGGGAAAATCGGGACCTTTTAGAGCTTCTTAAAGTGAGGCTGTTATAAGATTTTGCAGGGGTGCTGATCACGAATTTCAAGTTAACTTTTATCACAGATGATGTTTTCGTGTATTTAGTCCAGGTCGGGTCAGGTCAGGTCAGGTCACATGTTACGAGGGAACCAAAACTACTTCGTAAATGTTCAAACGGTTTCTAAATGCGAAATCAACTCAAAAATCTACCCTAGAAACATGTAGAAAACGAAGCAGTGAACAAAGGTCATCAAAGGTCAGTGACCTGAATGACCTTCACGTGACCTTGACACCCACTAGAATCCATGGGATCAACATCCTTTCACATGTTTGATCGCTTAAAGCCACAAAAAAGACAATAAACGCGCCCGTAATGTGAGCTGAAATATGCTAAATCGCGATTCCGGCCAAACATGGTCTCGGAAAACAGGTCACAAGTCAAAGGTCTTTTGGGTCAGGGTCATACAAATTTAAGAGTAGGCGTAATATTGATTAACTCGAGGGTACTGAAAGTTTCGTCGCGAACAGCCGCTTTTTGCGCGAGATATTTGCGAAAAACTAAGAGTGGGGCGTCTGTTCGACACCCTCTTACAAGTGCGAAGGTTAAGGTCAGGCCGTTGACCAATGACGTCAGAAGTGAACCTCTGTAAGGTCCCAAAATGTCGCGACGTCGCAACACCCTTCGTGCCAGGGGACCTTTCACTGGGTAATGAAGCTTATATGATCTACATAGTACCTACTATCTCCTAAAGGCCTCACAACTTGTATGTAGTTATCTCGTATTTTTCTTAAGAGTCACCTGAGGTCAGGTCGGTCACGCAGCCTCAGGCCTCATGATTACATATATGACGTCACTAAGGTCACAGGATTTTTCACCAAAAAAGTCCCGATCAAATTGAGCTAGCGAGTCGGGAAGCCACTAAAGGACTTGTGAGGACCTACCGAATCGAATAAGCGATATGACCTCCTTGGGCCAGCTTCGTGTACTGAGTGGCTCTGCCCTGATCATGACCTGAGATGAACACCTTAAATTGACCTCAACAAAAACAAAGCGTATACCTACTATTCGACGCGCTGAGCATGCAAAACTCGATGGTGCCATTGCCTTGGCTCTGTATCCACTATGGTGAAGCTGTTTACCAAAAACCGATCCCGCGACTTGGAGCACTTATACTGACCTCAGAGTTTATCGGTTGACCTGAGACATTCAACTCGGGCACCAGCTGCTGTATCTCATACGATGCACGCGCTCAGTTTCATCCGCAAGGCGCTAGCTCAATTAAGGGCGAAAAGACGGAGAGGGATCGTAATCGCCCCCCCCCCCCTCGGCCGGGGTATATGCAGAAAGCCCAAAAGTCCGTTGAGGGTTAAGCACTGAAGTGATATATTATTATGTGAGAAGATATAGGTCAAAACAAGTATGCACACGAGCGGGTGTGAATAACCCCGCGTTCGATGTCTCTCGGACCGGACGGCGAAGATTCTACGCCGTCCGGCCAATCACGTTCCAGAACTGCAGCCGAGCCCCCGCTGACCTTGGACGGGATTGGCCGGACGACGTAGAATCTTCGTCGTCCGAGAGACATCGAACGCTAGGTAAAATTGTATTTGAGGTATGCCTTTTTAATCATACGTTCGATTTGCTTTAGTTATTGGTAAGAACAAAGGCAACCAGGAAGAGCGCCCCTGAAGAAAAGGTGGCGCACTTGACGGGTGCGATTTTAAGGTCTAAGGTCAGTCGGGGACCTCTAAGTTCGGGTCAAGTGCTCCATGTTAGGGGTAAAAGAATGGGGGCAAAAAAAGCATCCCGATTTTGGCAGCATCGTCTTCGTCATGCTGTGTCACGGCACCCATCCACTCCCTCGCCCGAAATATAGTTCCCTTTTTGTATCAGTTCTGGCATAATCCCGCACATTATGCTGCATGTTGTTTGTCATGAAAAACAATGCATGTTCAGCTACGTTCTACGCAGTACGCACTATTCACTAACCTAACCACCATCCCACCATCCACCACTAACCACCATCCCGTTCTGTGCTCCCTTCCACCCCACACGAATCAGCCGAGATACTACTGTTAACGTCAGACCCCTTGAGACCCTAATTTTTCGCGATTACTTTTAAATGCGTGAAGGAATTTCAACCAAGCTCAGGACATGGCCGTTTCAAGACAGGCCGAAACTTTTACAATTTAGATATTTTATCGCCATTTCAATATTTCAGGCACTTGTCATTGACTCGTAATGTTAAATTTCGAGCAAGATTTTCATCCGGTGTGTAGAGGCTATCACCAGTCAGTCTGTGATACGTTATGACGTCACAGCTAAGCCCCGCCTCTGTGGTCTTGGCCTGCGGCGGTTTCGGGCCGGCGCGCGGTCACTCTCGCTGTGGCGGGGAGCGGGGACGGGCGACGGTCGAGCGGTGCCGAAAGCCGGCGGAGTTGTGCGTAGCGTCTTGGCTGACAGTGCCCAGAGAGCGACATGATGACTAAGGAGTCATAAATGCTCAATGCGCATTGCTTCTACAATGCTGATATGTTCGCTGATATTTTTTTTTTATATAAGCTGCATATGACGGGCAGATGGCATATAACTGACATAAGGTTAGGAAATATTCACCTGTATTTAAAGCCTATGGCGTTGCAGATAATGCGATAATGGGATGTCGGATGTCACCAAGTAGCTGCCGATTCGCTATCGCTATGCCATCGCTGCCATCGCTATGCAACCATCGAACAACGCAATAATAAGGCTGGGGGGATCCAGAGCGTCGTAAGCCTCGTCGCAGCTGCGACGTGTCGCAAGTTGTGTAGTAAGTCGTTTTTGGAGGGATCAATTGATGAGTAGCGTTACTTAAGAAGTAAAGTCTATCGCAAAGTGCCTGATTTACGACACAACTTA